TATATATATATATATATATATAAACAAAGTTTAAATATTAATTAAAATCCTTATATAAAATAAAGACAAATTGCTGGTAAAAATCGAAAAAGACGAGTAGTAAAATTTGGGGCTCGCGCTCCCTGCGGCCATCAGAGGGGCGGCACGTTACCTTTGTGCATGCCGGTGTAGCGGTCCTTCAGAACTGTCAGCTCGTGGATTTTCCCAAACTGTTCAAACAGAGGCTTCAGGTCTTTCTCCTCCAGGTTCCGCGGGATCTGCCCGATAAACAGCTTAATGGCATCTTGGTCTTTCATGTTGCCGCTCTCCGGATGAATGGGAATGGGTTCTGACCCGTTCATGGGTTTCGGGAGTGTGATCTGGGGGTACTGGTGCTGATGCGGGAGCAGGAGGAGCGGCTGGTGGGTCAGTGGTGCCCCCGGTCCGATGAAAACCAGGCTGGAGGAAGCGGGCTGCTGGGGATGGTGCTGCCTTCTTGTTTCAGTCTGAGTGAATCTGGCCATTCTGAGCTGGGAGCAGAGTGGATAATAATGACAACACGCGCGCACACACTCCCTCTCTCACACACACTCGCGCGCGCGCGCGCTCACTCGCTGTGAGAGAGCAAGCACTCAGCTGGAAACCGGGCTGACTTTCTATCCGACACACAACGCACACACACAAAGAGCGGGGGGTGTAACAGGCGGGATGAGCGCGCTGAGGTTTCATCAGACGCTCTGGAGCGACACCCAGTGGTCATAAAGAGCAAAACCAGCTTGGAACAAAAGCCTATGTTTTATATTTCATTTTATTTTCATTTATTGTTCATTTGAATAGGGACAAGTGTCAAGTATTAACAATACTACACACTACAACATTTATAGAAAGAGCTAATTTGCAATGCCCGTCCCATTGTAGGTGTGTGTGTCTTCGTTAGTCTGTCTGTTAAATATCTCATCACTGTGTGGATTTTGATGACACGTTTTGGACATAATAATTAGAAATGCATCTACAACCATTTGAAGTCAGCTTCATTTAAGATGGCCACCGCAACCAAATGATATGACAGAATAACTCATCTAATAGTGCTTGGGGGTGTGGGTAGGCACAACTCAAAAAGCCAGTGGTGTCAACATGGTAAAAAAAAAAAAAACACGGGGGGTGAAGGGGTATATTGGACATGGAACTCTGGACCCAAACGAGGACTTAAACTGACCTTATACCCTCGGTTTGAAAGATACACTTTTCCCAAAGAAGAAGAACCCACACACACACACACACACACACACACACACACACACACACACACACACCACCACCACCACCACCACAAAAACAAATTTCACCATCATTTGTGTTCGTACTTCCAGTTGGCCAAGCCTGGATGTTTTACAACTGGTCAGCATAAATAGTTATATTTTTTAGGTAGTCAGACAAAAGAAGTGTGTTCTTAGGGCTAGGTCAATGAAACGGGGTATACTGTTTTTTTTATAAAGTCTGTTCAGTGATTGGTGGAAGTGGGGGCGGGAGGTTTAGGACATGAGGCTGGTGCTATGTCAGTAGAGTTGTCCCCCTGTCATACATACGTACACAGAACTAATATTTACTGTAGCTGAGCATCATCTCCACCATTAATTGTTGGCGTAAACATTGTTTGACGTAAGTAAAATATTTCCTGAAACACTGGAGTGGTTTTAATGAAACTCGCAGGAAGTGGTCACATCTACACTTGAAGATATAGAATCTTTCTTCATTGTGAATTTATTTTNACCGTGCCGCCCAAAATGAGTTCATTGTACTGAATATCCATTTCGGTGGGTGTGTTTATCCAAAATCCTGCCGTGTTCACTCAGGAGGAGAAAGATTTTATTGTTCCATGATTAACTGTAGGTTCTTATTAGTGTTACATATTTCACAACAACAATGAGCCGGTATTAGTGTTAGCATTTTATTCATGTTTTATTTCTGAATTTGCACCGAAAAACACATGTTAAAATTGATTAAACATTAGTAAAAGTAAAAAAAAATTGCTTTAAAGTGTTACATGTGACTAAAACACAGCTTATTACCACGGCCAAACGTCAAACAMAGAATATGTAAAGATGTTTGAATAAAAGTTTAGTCTGTTTTCATTCATGCTGGAAAATGAATGTTTTCTTTAATGTTCATTGGATACATGTATTTGTTCAAATAAAGGTTTGTTTAAAAATCAAACACAAAAGAAGAGAGGAGATGAGAGGAGTGTGTCTGTCTTCAAAGAAAAGGTTACAACARAAAGTAGCTTTACTGTTATCCTGTTTGTTTCAAACACATAAAACAGTGCTGATTGGATGTTGTTAAATCATGACAGTGTAAAAATCCCCAGTCATTCAAATAATCCTTTGACTGTGTCTTTTTGCAGTCATGTTGAGATTGTTTTAAAAAGTACATGTTCAGATACGTAGTGTAATCATCATAGTTAGCTGCCCAATCAACTCAGTGCTCAGTTCAAAATACTTCAGTTATAATGCTACCTCAGAGAAACCAAGCTAAAATTAGTTTTTATCTAATTTTGTTACACGAGTCTTCCCTGATCTAACATACAATAATGCTTGTTATGAAGAAATCCTGTCAATCATCAGCTTGTCAAGGGACCAACAAACATGAACACGATTAACAGACCTGTACTGTAAATATTTTTTCAGCAGCTTGCAGTCTAAATTCCCAAAAGAGCGTTTATTTGCATCATTTGTCTCCTTGCTTGCAGACTCTGTCAATAGCACTCCAGCGAAAATACTTTGTGGGGGAAAATAAAATAAAATAATAAACTGCTGGGAAAAGAACTAGTCGAGTAAAATGAAAGCAATACAGTCTAGGCACATTTCCAGCTCCACCACCACTGTCTTTAAATAAAACACATCTGCTGGACAGATTTCTAATTACAGCCAATTGAACAGTGGATTAAATGATGTGATATACTGTGTGTGACAGCCGGATTAGGGCTCCGAGGTGAATCAATACTGCTGTGGCTGCTCTTCTCACTGTGAAGGAGGAGCACAGAGGTGTCCTCCTCAGAACTTTGGCTTCCTAAAACCTGTCTCATGGTGTGGCAGAAACTGTCTTGATCTACAGCAGGGGTGCTCACAGCAGGGCCCATGGGCCAAAATTGGCCTACCAAACCATTTGGTTTGGCCCGCCAGCAWTGGGTGGTAATCACGTCATCCTAAAGGCCCTCTCACACTATAATGTTTAGACACCCCTAAATTACTAATAAAAGTTATATATTTGATCAGTTTGTTACCATTACAGTGTGTACATGCCTAAAAGAGGCTTCCAGTTGATTTGATGTMTTTAAAATTTTTATAAGATGGCATAAGTTGCCTAAAACATTATAGTGGGGCAG